TTTTTTTATTAAAAAAAAAAAATGAGAAATCTCTTACTTTATTTAGGTTTTAATGAAAAAAAAAAATGATTCAAAAAATGGAATTTATTTTATTTTTTTTTTTCCTAAAATAAATAAATAATAAAAAATAAAAATATAAAAAAAAAGGGATAAATTTGGTTTTAAAGATAAAAAGAAAAAAAATAAATAAAAAAATAAATAAAAAAAAGGGGGGGAGGGTGAAAAGTTGGGGTAGAATTGTAGAAAAGAAGGAATCGTTATTTATACTATTATGGAATGAATGATTCTTTATTATAAATGTATTAAATAATAATTTTTATTGGTTTAATAGTATTAATAAATGTATCACAACTTTATTTTAATTTTAATTTGGGAAATACGGAAACATAATGAATTTTTTTTATTTTTATTTTTTTTTTAAAAAAAAAGAAATCCTTTTTTTTTTCCTTGCGGTTATTCCGTTATTCCACGGCACTGGTCTATTATCAACAAATTCAAGTTCATAAAGTTCGTACAAAGTTATTTTCGTACGACAATCTGACCAAATTTTGCATAACTATAGAAAAATATTATTACAAATCAGAAAATAAAAAAAGAAATGGTAAACCCTCAGAAAAAAAACATTAACATGATCTTTTGTAAGACTTTTCAGTGGACGACAAAATAACTTTTTTCGGATTTATCGGGATTTATGATTGTATATTTGTATGATTGAAAGATTGATCACACATTTCACACATTTTCATTAGAAATAATAGGTTACAGAAATATTATATATATTTTTTTAGGTTTATACTGTAAATACAACGTTCAAAAACTATTATTAACCGTGGGATAATTCCCTTAACTATGTGACATATAATTGGTGTCAAATAGCATTGTTTAAAAATCTTGTTCCAAATTGCAAACATGTATCTGAATTGCTTAAATATGTAAAGATGTGATGCATTGTGACATCACCTATGCGCGTTTTAATTAATGCTAACTCGATTCTGATTTAATTATAAACAACTTCAAATAATAGTTGTACATAGATTCCGAGAAAATCTTAAAAAATTTATTTACTCATTAAAATAGATTTTTTTTGAGAAAGACGTTTTAAGACGTTTTACAGTGTCGATGGAAATCTAGTTGGATAAAGCGAATTGCAAGGTAATTATCGACTAGTAAAACTAGTAAATCAAGTTAATATTATAAAACATAAATTGTAAATGGTTGTAAACATTACAGTAGACCACACTAATACGGTTAGTTGAGAATTAAATGATTTTGAATCAAAGGTTGCCTATTACGGCAGTAATTACTACATAAAGTACCCCCCATGTTCTAACGGGGGGTAGTGCTAATGTTTTGGGGGCTAATTAGGATCTGAAAAATCATTTTAAAAAAAAATTTTTTATTTGTCCGATCCGTTCGAAAGAGGGATTAATTAATGCTCAGTAAAATAATTTGCCCAGTAAAATAATTTGCTCAGTAAAATCATTTGCCCAGTAAAATCATTTTTCCAGTAAAATAATTTTTCCTGTAAAATAATTTTCCCGTAAAATAATTTCTTCGTAAAATAATTTTCCAGTAAAATAGTTTGTCAAGTAAAATAATTTTTCCAGTAAAATAGTTTGTCAAGTAAATTAGTTAAGTAAATTAGTTTGCCAAGTAAAATAGTTTGCCAAGTAAAATAATATTTCAATACGGTTGCCCCGTACAATACAGGCCCTATACAATACAGTGTCCTCAATACGTATCTAAGCGTGAGTATGCTATTACGGTCCGTTATTAACAAGAATATCATTATGTAATGTCTAAAATGGCTGACAAATTCTAACCAAAATTACGTCAAATTACACGTGAAGTTATCTTTAATGGGAAAAGCGTCACAAAAACCACAATATCCATACACATACAAAAAAAAAGATTCTTTGAAATAAAAAATGATGTATTATCGATCATGAGAAAATTATGGTACATTATATTCATGTATATTCGTAAATGGAGAATGGTGTAAAGTATCAATGGAAAAATTCTTGGAATAAAATTAAAAATAAAATTTTAAATGTTTTTATAATAAAAGATATCAAACTATTATTTAAATTTTTAAATGTTTTTAATGATGATGACAAAGAATTTTTAAAAATTAGTGAATAAATTATTTAATTGAAGATAATATTGAAGATAATATGAAGATAATAATATTAATTCTAACATAATAAAATTCTAATAAAAATTCTAAATAATTCTTATAAAATTCTAAATAAAAATTCTAATAAAAATTCTTATAAAAAAAATTCTAAATAAAAATTCTAATAAAAATTCTAAATAAAAATTCTAATATTAATTCTAATAAAAATTCTAATAAAAATTCTAATGTTAATTTTAATAATAATTTCAATAAAATTCTAATAAAAATTCTAAATAAAAATTTCTAATATTAATTTTAATATAAATTCTAACAAAAAATCCTAATAAAAATTCTTATAAAAAAATTCTAAATAAAAATTCTTATAAAAAAAATTTTAATAAAAATTCTAATGAAAATTCCAATGAAAATTCTGATGTTAATTAGGAATTTTTTTTAGAAAAAATATATGATTATATTCTAATTTTAATTCTAATAAAAATTCTAATAAAAAATTCTAAATTCTAATATTATATTAATTCCAATAAAATTCTAATATAAATTCTAATATTAATTCTAATAAAAATTCTAAATAAAAATTTTAATATTTATTCTAATAAAAATTCTAATATTAATTAATATTAATTTTAATAAAAATTCTGATATTAATTCTAATAAAATTCTAATAAAAATTCTCTAATAAAAATGCTAATATTAATTCTAATAATAATTCCAATAAAAATTCCAATAAAAATTTCAATAAAAATTCCAAATAAAAATTCCAATTCCAATAAAAATTTTAATAAAAATTTTAATAAAAATTTTAATATTAATTTTCTAATAATACTATTAATTCAATAATAATTCTAACATTAACTTTTACTAATATTAATTTTTATTCTGATTAATTTCAGTTTACTAAATTACATCACTGATGTTTAATATTAAATGTATTTTTTAAAAACTATAGCAGTCAGTGGAAATGTCATTTCTTTTGCCGATTATTAATTAGTGTAACCATAATTGAATATATCACCACGTAACTAAAAAAAGAAATTTTTAATACAATGCTTATACAAATTAAGTAAATTAATAGTTCATCATGTATACTATAAATATTCGTCATCATTTTCTCTTTAGTAATATTTTTTTCTTTACATATTACAAGAAAGTTCGTCTTAAAAATGAAGTTTTCCTCAAAATGCAACTTAAAGGTGAGTATAAAATACAATTTAAATAACACAAATATATGTAATTTTACGAGAAGAAAAAGATTTATTAAATTAAAAAAGGCAGTTATTTAAGGAGATTTTGTGTAAACTGCAAAAAACCAATTTTTATAATAAAAAAATTTTTCTTGATTTCAATAAAACTCTTAACAAAAGCTTTTTTAACCAGCAATTATTTCATTTTTAGATATAATTTGGTGAAATGAACAACTTTTATTAAGTTTAGAATGGTGATTATTAAGCTAGATTTTTTGTTATTTATAAATTTTGTTGAATTTTTTAATTATAGTGCTAATAAAAAAATTTTTTTTTTATTAGAATAATATTATTAGGTCTATTTAGGTGTTATAAATGAGGTTTAATCGCAAAAATAGTTAAATATTATGTATTTATTTGTTTATTTAAATTAGACATTTAATACTTAATTTTTAATATTATAATAATCATGTAAATTATTATAACATTAAAAAAAACTTTAAAATTTTTAATTTTAGTTCGTTTAACAAGAAAATAAAACAAAAATTATTTATTTATAGAAAAATTCTTATTGACTATTAGGTCTATTTACTTTGTTAAGTCATAAATACAAATAGTATAATATGAATAAATAAAATATATTTTTATATATAAAAAAAGTATTTAAAGTAGCGTTAAAATAAATTGAATATTTAAAAAAAATAAGCAAAAGAATAAGGTTAAATAAATTTTCTTAATTTTTATTAGTTTATTGTATTAAAATAACCATATAATTGACTACTTTCTTTGGCAAGTTGCAACTGAATAAAGTGAAGTTTTTAACTTTTAAAAGGTTTAAAATATTTTTCAAACCTTGAATGAACATATTTACTATTGTTGGAAAAAATGTTATATTGCATAAATAAGGTGTTACCTTTAACCTGAAAATTTCGATTTTAATGTAATTTGGGCTGGCATTA